AGTTTGGGTTCAATTCAGCTTCATGGAATTTTCTTGAAGCTGGTCACGGAAAGGGTGCTGCAAATGGCATCGGGGCCGTTGTAAAAAGATCAGCAGACAGATTTATTAATGAAGGGGGTGACATAATGGGGTCCGATGATCTCATCCTGGCATTAGAGTCAAAAGGAACATCAGTTAAGCTAGTGAAAATAACAGAGGAACAAGTTAAAGAGATTGAAAGTGTATTGCCAACAACATTAAAACCGATTACAAGAACTATGCAGATTCATCAGGTACATATTTTAACTACACATGTTTTTGTATAAGACATAATGTAAAAAAGTAAGTCTAAATGTTGATATTAGCATATAAGATAATTATGTTTTCTCTTGTTTACAGATTATTGTTCCAAGTAGAGGAACCATTTTGCATAGACCACTATCCTGCTTTTGTGCACGACCAGCCATCTGTCAATGTTTCAAGCCAGAAACGTTTTCTTTTCCAACCCAGGTTGACCTTAAAATTTTTATTTTTTTTAGTTTCCTTTTTAATTATGTCTTGTAGTTGATTTGTTAGTATAGATTAATTGATGCTTCATTGCTTAGAATCAAAGTAATTGTGCATGTATATATTTCAGAGAGAAGCTGCGCATTCTTCATCGTCTATTTTGCAAACCTGTGAGGAAGTAGCAGTAAACACCACAGCGAGCACGGTTTCCAAGCTTCGTCATATCGTTGAGGTGGACGAGAGTCTAGTTTCAAACTACTGTGTTGTGAAATATGATGGCAAAGCCTATCCTGGACTTATTTTGTCAGTGGATGAAGAGGAAGAAATCGAAGTCAAAACAATGCACAGGGTTGGTCGTAACAGATTCTTCTGGCCTATGATGGATGATGTGCTTTGGTATCAAAAGGAAAACATTATAACAATTCTGGACAACCCACCTAGACCCGTGACTAAGAGACATGTAGAAATTGAACCAGAAATCTGGGAGCTTGTTGAAAAAGAAGAGGATGAATAGGAACAATATTAGAAGTGTTCAAATTTATCAGTTAATGTTTGAATAACATTGTTCAGATTTAGCAGTTTAATTGAATGAAATTGTTTGAATTAAAATGGTTGTTATTTTTAGTATTAAATGGTCTTTTGGTTTTGTTATTTTAGAGTCATACATTGACATTCTTTGTATGTATTTAAAAGCAATGTCATGACCGAAATTTGATGTCATGACAGAACATTTTAGTCATTTGTCTTTCGTGCATATAAAATTACATGCTATTGATTATAAGTAAAAAATAAGTCTTAGTGATATAATTTACTTTATTTCATGCCTGTTATTTCCTAAAACGTATTAATGTTGGTTTTCAACGACAAAAAAACTTTATTTGAAATTACACAAATAGCATCTTTTTAAAATATGGCGAATTATTTGGCCCTCTACAGAATAGAAACGTATTCCAAAATTCTAAAACTTCTATTATATTACAGAGTATTCATTTTCTTTTCATTGGTAAAAGAAATATTTCTTTGAAGTATATAGAAAAATATATACTGCATGTTTTTGTATGGTTGCGGTCATGACAAAAGCATAAAAAATATGATTTTACTTCTTAAATATAATAAAATCTGTTTACTTTGACTCGCGGCTAGCGTTGAAATAAAAGAGCATATGCATTACAAAGCTCATTGAACCATGTTAGACAGAGAAAGAAGAAAAAGTAATACCAACTTCTTCACTTATGAAAATTGTCTCAAATTTGTGGAATCACCCACGGGACACTTTAAAGAACTGCTTAAATGAATCCGGCAGGTATCTCGGAATCGTGTATTCGAAATACTCTAGAGATTTTATCCTATCTTCTCTCAATCTGAAATGAAGAAAAAAAATGTGCATACTAGATTCACACATTTAGTATATGACCCATATGTGCAAAAATAGCCATTATCTGGTAAGAAAACAGAGGAATAATCATGATAATCAAAATCAAACATAAAAAGTCCTGTGTGCTCGAATTTCCTCCATTGTTTACATTCGATAAGTTAAATGTTTCTATAGATTAACTGTAATATTTCACTGATATATCACAACACTCACCCTGTTGATAGCCCATATATCTCAAAAAAAGATGTTTCAATATAATCATCTTCTTCATCATCGCTCAAAATATCTGTAACTATTGTTACAACAGCTGTAACGACAACGCCGTCAACGAGTTCCTCCATCTTTGTTTTTACACTTTTTACGCCGGTTTACTTGATTTGCAAATTCGCCGTTTTACGCCGGTCATATGACCGGCGCATTTCGGCGTACGCCGATCTCGGACAAATGAAATCCGCCCTGGGTGATTGTTTTTAGCCGGGCTTATTGCTCAAAGAGCAATTGCCGGCTTATGTTATCCTGTTCAAGGCAGGAAGTCAACCCCCATAGTCGCCATTTTAAAGTGACGTGCAAAAATATAGTTCTTACTCTCAACCGCTTTTGAGATAATACAAACGCTAAATAAAGCAACAAAAATAAGACGAAGTTTTATCTATATAAATAAACATTAGTAGTAATGACTTTGAAAACATCAGTCCTAAGTCAAAGATTATAGTTCATTAGCGTAGTTCTCTACCCATACGAGGTAAAGCAGGAGAGGGAACAAGATTGGCCTGTTTGTTTACATTCAGCTGCGGTACCAGATTAATTCTGATTATGACAAAATCGGACCGTGGTATTAGGATTGAAAAACTCACTGTCACTGTCTCATCATTTATATTGATAGTTTTAAAATAATTTTTTTCACCAGAATATAAACGTGATTCATGTAAGAAATTCATTCTATTCTGTAAATGAGCCCGGCTCTCTGTACTTCTGAGTACTTTGATTTTCTGCCCGGCGGAGGAACGGCTGTTGTCATCCCTTTGCAAAAAGGTTTTGACTTCTGTTTGTATTCTTTGAATTCTTCTAGTTCCGCATGTTGAAATTTGTGTGCTCATTGCAGTAAGGATTCTCTTTCTTGAGTATCCGATTGCCGCAGCAGCAACAGACGTAAGTCTATACTTGCACAATAACTCGGAAGATATAATGTTGACAATTGCCTTTTGGGTTTTTCTTTTCCTCGCATGTTCATACTTTTCCTTGTCCTTTTTTAATTGCATGATGGCAGTTCAACATAGGCTTTATTTCTTTAGAAATGCTTTGACCTCTAGAGTAATTTTTCAGTTCTTGTTCTCGGTGAGTCTAATGCATTTCTAGCGTATTTTGCCTTTTCTCTAAGCAAACGTTTTCTGTACTTTTCAATGTTCTTTTCTTTCCTCAATTTGTCTCTTAATTTCTTTATTTCCCTGTAAGCCTTTGCATGATCTTTTACGATTTTTAGCTCTACTGGTCAGAGACCAGAAGAGCTTATGCGATAGTAATGCGTCCGTCGTCCGTCCGTATGTCTGTCTGTCTGTCTGTAAACAATTATTCAAAATGCTACTCCTCCTACAGTTTTGGTCTGATTTCAATATAACTTGGCACACAAGTAGACTACACTAAGATACATAATTCTGTATATCGGTTTTTGATTTCGATGAACGGTGTTGCTGTTGTTACTAAAAATAGAAATTTCTGTGAAATTCTTTCAAAATGCTACTCCTCCAACAGTTTTGGTCTGATTTCAATATATCTTGGCACATAAGTAGACTACACTAAGATACATATTTCTGTGTATTCATTTTTGATTTCGATGAACGGTGTTGCTGTTGTTACTAAAAATAGAAATTTCTGTGAAATTATTTCAAAATGCTACTCCTCCTACAGTTTTGGTCTGATTTCAATATAACTTAACACATACATATTTCGGTGTATCCGTTTTTGATTTCGATGAACGGTGTTGCCGTTGTTACTAAAAATAGAAATTTCTGTGAAATTCTTTCAAATTGCTACTCCTTCTACAGTTTTGGTCTGATTTCAATATAACTTGGCACACAAGTAGACTACACTAAGATACATAATTCTGTGTATCGGTTTTTGATTTCGATGAATGGTGTTGCCGTTGTTACTAAAAATAGAAATTTCTGTGAAATTCTTTCAAAATGCTACTCCTTCTACAGTTTTGGTCTGATTTCAATATAACTTGGCACACAAGTAGACTACACTAAGATACATAATTCTGTATATCCGTTTTTGATTTCGATGAACGGTGTTGCTGTTGTTACTAAAAATAGAAATTTCTGTGAAATTCTTTCAAAATGCTACTCCTCCTACAGTTTTGGTCTGATTTCAATATAACTTGGCACACAAGTAAACTACACTAAGGTACATAATTTGTTTATCCGTTTTTTATTTCAATGATCGATGTTGCCGTGGTAATTAAAATGAGAAATTTTTGTTAAAAATTCTCAAAATGCTACTCCAAATACAGTTTAAGTCTGATTATAATATAATGTGACATGCAAGTAGACTACACTAAGAACATAAAGGGACTTAATCAAGGATCATTATTCTTTTTATTGCTGTGGTAAAGTTTCAATTCCCAACTGCTTAAGAACTTTTCCTTTGCTCTAAGTACAAACCAGTACAGCTTCAGTCTCGACAGAGACTTCTGGTTTTTCTTTCAGAAGACTTCCCCGAGTCCAGAGGAAAAGCAATGAAGGATATGGAAATAACGAAATGTATTTAATATCAAAGTCTATAAAACAATACAAAACAGGAGAAGAGCAAACACGGACCTCTAAAACATCAGAGGTGGGATCAGGTGCCATGGAGGAGTGAGCATCCCCAGCCGGTCACACCCGCCGTGTGCTCCTCGTCATGATCGGGAAATAAGGAAAATCCGCCGTCAATTCAGTGTATAATTAATGGACAATTAGTATGAAAAACGTCAGTCAGCATTTAACTCATTGATAACCGATTCTTTGTCATCTGTAGAATCTGAAGGAGTGTTTGTAGTTAACATATCTATAACATCTTTTTCTCTTGTGTTTTTGATTTATTCTTTATCTTTTACGCACTGTTCTTTTCTGTCTCTCAGTCATCTGTGACACATTTTTCAGTTTTCCGCTATTTTTTCTTTATTTATTATATTATTAGGCATTATTACTTGTTTTTACATTTTTAACATACTTTGATAAATTATTCAAACTAACGGAAATTTCTATCTAAACACGACTTTGGTAATTCTGAAATTTGTAAG